ATTTCTGCTTCTTTTGAAAAAATGGTACCATCCTGTTACAAAGCTGGTTATTATAGACACACAGAATGCTATTTTATTTTACACTTTTTAGCTAATCATACCCATTTTAGGTTGACAGAATAAAAAAAAGTGTAAAATAAAATAGCATTCTGTGTGTCTCTAATAACCAGCTGTGTAACAGGATGGTACCATTTTTTCACAAGAAGAAGAAATGAGATTTGTTAATTATTCATACTGTTTTATTGCTTGTTTTGGTGTTTGAAAAAAGCCAAAAATGTCCATTATGTGTTGGCTATAAAAGGCTTTATTTATTTTGTTTAATCTTAAGTAAATCTAAATGTGCATGTGTACTTAACTATCTAAAACTCTTTATAGGAGTCACTTAGTGAATTTATTAGTTTAAATTATTTACTTGGACATTATGGGCAGAAGGTTGTTAGTGGTAGAAAAAGCAGAAAAGGTGCAGATCACTGGATAGAAAGGGTCAAACGCTCCAGCTTTGTGTGCAGGCCACTTAATGTGAGGCTTTGACCCTTTGGTCTTCCTTTAACGATTTTAAAGAAGACAAAACATAAGACTATGTTGCTTAGAGTTCTGTTTCAAGGTGTTTTCTTTTTTTTACTGACAAGAAAGTAATAATGTTGTCTTGTTAAAGTCATTAACTCGCAGCATTTGATTCAAACAAGAAAAAAATAAAATAAAGATACAGTTGATTTTATTATTATTTTAGTGTGACATAGCTTAGGTACATCTAATTTTCTTAACAGTAGAAAAATAATGCTTTAATATACCGACCACTACAGGTATAGTCACTTGAAGAAGAGTTTTAAAACATCACTGTAAAATAAACTGCGTACATATTGGTCAAATCTGCCATAATCAATTATGAAAGCATTCTTATAGTTTTATCTTTCATAACTTCCTTCAACAGCACATAAATACCAGGATACAAACAAAAGAGTACAAACACGACACATTTCATCACTGTAAAGAAGGGGGGAAAGTCACGACCCAGAGTTAACAATAGGAAGAATTCATGAGCGTTTGTAACAGCTGGGGGCGTTATTAAAGTGTACTGAAGTACTATGAAAGCATGCTGACACAGAATCCAGTCCAATCCCAACACAAAGGAAGCGACAAAGGACCTCAGATTAAGCAGTTCTTTGGGTTTTTGGAACGCCCAGACATTAAAAACTGAAACACGTCACCTGTAAATACTGTACGCCATACAGCAGAACATTTAGCCACAAAGTGGTGTACATTCATCGTACCGACACAAACAGACAATGCACAGTCTCTACTGCGAAGCTGGGGGTGACATGGTGAACTTTAGCTGGACTGCGGGACGATCAGACGCCCAGCTGCTTGTTGAGTCGGCTGAGAGCGTCGCCCACGATGTCGAGCTCGTGCCGAAGCTCCTCCACCACGCTGTTTATGCTGGGGGTGTCTTTTAGCACATCCACGCTCTGGGTGTAGGGGTTGTATCGAACTGTGAAGGGACGCTTGATGGTCTTGGCAAACTCCCTAAAAAGCAACACAAAACAGGTTTGTTATTTATTTATGAGCTAATGTTATTCTGGTAAACAGAAAATCATTTTATTGTGTGAGTCCTTCAGCATTCACACTTTACTTTTCCCTACTTTATTTATTTAACTCAACTTCTGCATGCTTTGTGCCATTTTAGCTGTTCGTAAATCAAAACATTCAGCTGTTTCTGGTGGGTGCTATGAAGTTTGAATTTTGTTTCCCCAAAAATACAATGAAATATATACGGTTACTTAAAAAAAACAATATTCTCTTTGAATCTGCTTCAGCATACATACTCTATTTTTGTCTTATGCTACCGTTAGGTTTTAACTGCTGCTTTTAGCTTTTAGTTAGCTTTTTGCTACTTTTAACTTCAAGCTAGCCTTTTGACAATTTCAACAACCTTTTTACTTCTTTGGACTTATAGCTTGGCTTACTGCTTTCAGCTTTTAGATAACATTTAGCTACTTTTAGATGTAGCATTTTATTGCCTTTAGCCTTTGTGTAGACTTAATGTTTTTAACTTTTATCTAGCATTTAGCTTTTGTTTGCTTGTTTGTTTTGGCTAGTGATCTACTTCTTTTAACTTTAATTACACAGTTTTGACTTCTTCAGAAAATTTCAGCCATGTTGTTCACTCAGCGTTCACAAAGCAATTCTAGTTTTATTAGGATAAAAATGTCCAAAAATAGAACAAAAAGAAGAAAAAAAAGTGCACCTCATTTTGACTTTGGCTTCCTCAAAGCTGTCAGACACAAAGTAGACGTCCTGAAATGTTGTGATGATGCATTCCTGCTTGCTTGTGACTTTTGGGTCAAAAGGCATTATCCTTGCATTACCAGACAGAGCATGCTGCAAGACAAAAAGCATAAAAATGTTGCATACTGTTTAATAGTTTGCACCAAAAATGCTCTAAATTTGCCCTATCATACAAAATAGCATGCTCCATTAGCATTTTTTTAATTACTATTATTATACAGCTTTAAATACAATGTGATTACGGAGTCCGAAGTCTGTGCATTAAATCTGTCTTTACCTTCAGCTCGCTGATAGACGACAGCAGGCCGGCTCCGTATGCCCTCAGCTGCCCTTCCTGTTTGCATAACCCAAACTCCACCGTGAAGAAATAGCACTGCAGCACAGAAGAGAATAAAGCACAAGCTGCTGTGAGACAGTAAATATTAGTGAGACTTGATTTGTCTGAACGTGTGACACTCACTGTGGCCAGTTTCTGGACAGAGTCGTCTGAGGCTCCGAGGGAAGCGAGACCGATCTCCTGAGAGAACTGAGCGAAGCTGGGTTCTGCCAGCAGCGGGACGTGGCCCAGCAGTTCATGGCATGTGTCCCTTTTAATGACAAATAACAGATTATTTAACTCGGGAAGTGTTGCAATGAAATTAACAGCTTATAATCGAACATGGCATCAAGACTGAGGGAAGTCGGGAGTTAAGGATGCAGCAGTGACGATAGGTGCATGTCTAAACACGCAGTTAAAGAATGAATAAAAACTAATTTCATTAGTGATAAATTCTAATAAAAATTTTATACGACTGAAACTGGAAGTGTGTATTTATTGTATATCGGTGTGCAACTTTTACACCTGCTTAAAACCCACGAAAAAGTGGGCAGATCAGCTTTAGGTCATGATAGTAATTTTATAAATATTGTGTATAAAATATCTTTTTTCAGCTTTTCTTCTTCAGGGGTCTCCAAAACGAGTCATCCTCCTCCATCTCACTCTGTCCTCACTCCAATACCTCCATGTCCTCTCTAACGGCATACGTATATCTACTCTGTTTTTTCCCTGGCAGCTGCATTTCTAACATCCTTCTACCAATATACCCACTGTCCCTCCTCTGGACATGTCCAAACCACTGTCCCTCCTCTGGACATGTCCAAACCACTGCCCCTCCTCTGGACATGTCCAAACCACTGCCCCTCCTCTGGACATGTCCAAACCATCTCAGTCTGGCCTCTCCAACTTTATCTCCTACTTGTTTGACCTGTGCTGTACCTCTGATAATCTCATTCCTAATCTTATCCATTCTTGTCACTTCTAAGGAGTAATTGTGTAGAAAGTATACAAATTTTTAATAGGACATTTAACTGGTTTGGTAATATAACATTTGGGTGTTTGTTAATAGAAGTTCACACATGCTCACAGCAGCCCTTCAACTGAAACATGTTCACACAGTGAATATTACTCACGGCTCTGGGGTGTATAAAGGGTCGGAGCTGTGCCGGACATACTGGGTACAGTGGAAAACACGGAAGGCCAAACCAGCGAGGAAGTCCCGAGGAGACAAGTAACCTGCCACAGGTCTGATGGTGAACCCAGTTCGTTCTGAAAAGATGTTTCAGTCACATATTATACGTTTCCACACAAAAGACCATTATTTTATTCTGGGAAGGAAACCGCTACCTTTGAGGAAGCGTGAGACATCTTCAAGCTGCGGGATGTTATCCTCCCTACATTCACAGTATTTAGACAGCAGCGGCAGGTTCTTCAAGTATTCCTGGCAGGCATGAGTGGGGTACAACTTGTTGAGCTCCCTGTACACAACCCCCCAAGTCTTCACTTCCTCCTCTGTGAACTCGATGCGAGGGATGGGATCCCCACTGGAGAAATAACAGAAATTATTTAAGCAGGGGGGGGGGGGGGGGGGGGATCAACTCCAAATGTTTAAATATGATGTTTAAAGAAACATACTGCTTGTGTGACATGGCAAGATCTGCAAAATACTTTCGCCTTTTCCGGTAAACGTTGTCCTTGAAACCCTGAAGAAGAAAAACCACAAACAATAGTTCCTGTTTATTTTGAAAGTTCAGCCTGTACGTAAGCAAAAACACTAGAAATATTTCTGGTACCCCACCGGATGGTCAGCATCCAGCTCAGAGCCGTACATCAGGACACGGTTAGCACATTTGTCCAAGTCGGAAATTTTCTTTGGAAACCAAGGTAAATCATAAATTTCTGAAATAAATAAATAAAAGACTTTGGTAAATAATCCATTTAAAACTCAGTATTTGGCCATTTCTATCCACTTCTGTCTCACCTTCCTCGAGTAGGCATGAGTTATCTGGAGGATCCATTTCCACCACGTTCACATGCTTCCGAAGCAGCTGGATGATCTCCTTCAGTTGCTCGTGGTCGCTGTCGCAGTCCACAAAAATTTCAAACTCCGAGTTGCGTCTTTTGGATTTCCTGGACTCAATGTGGACAAGGTTGACATGGTTTTCCTGCAAGAAGCATTTTAGCTATTTTAGGCTTCTGCTTTTGTTTGATTGCTGAACAAAACATCTGCTAATAGACACAAACAAAGTGAGTGACACCACAGAGCGCTGACATTTCCAATATGTCAATACATATATCCTACTTGGAAGAGTTTGAGCGCCTTCACCAGTCCTCCCACTTCATTCTTGAGGGAAAAGATAACAGTTGCTCTCCCTTTCTCTGATGTGTTCTTCTTCTCTGTGTTTTCTTCGATCTTTGTGAAGGTTGATTTGTTTATCTGAGATTTAAAAAAGTAAAAACAGAAAATCAAAGATTGTTGGACCCGAATCTGTGTTCTACTTTCACATCATGCATTTGTTAAGATTGAAAACCCCGAGCATGTAATGACGTGAATGCACAACTTCTAATCACTTAAGAGCATCTATCCAAGGATCTGCACATCTTATCTGCATGTGCGACGCACCGAGAAGTGGCGCAGTGGGAGTAAGAGTCAATGTTTGCAGCTTTTTTGGCCACATATAGCTTTATATTCTGGGGGAGAGGGAGGATAATAGAAGGTAATGTTTTGTGCAGACAGCTGCAGCTTGAGCCAATTGAAGGGGGCTGGCGTCAGTTTCGGCACCTCGGAGGACGCTCTCACGTTGACGCACGGCTGCACACGCCATGAAAATTCATCTAATCCCGCATCAGCACCAGTGAGACTGCAGCAACAGCACATAACAACAAAAATAATAATAATAACAAGAAGAAGAAGAAGTTTGCACTGACTGCAGCGCGTTTTCATTCGTTGTACTTGTTGCGTAAAGTTGGAAACCCGTGCGTAAAACACACCAAGTTCTACCTTGGTTGAAATCATTCAACTGCGCCATGATCAAAGCGTCCACAGCTGTGGATAAAAACAAGTTAAACTCTCTTCCTACCATGTTTTTCTCTTTTAACCCCGCGTAGACTGCGCGGCAGAGAAGTTTCCCGTGAACCCTGGTCCCTGAAAGCATCAGTGCGTGGACTGTCTGGATCAGGACGCTCTCTGGGGGGGTCAGACTCCTCGCGTCTCGGTATAATCAAGATGAACTTGTCTCTGTCTCCAAGAATCGCCTTACAGCAATCTCATTTAGAGAGCGGGGAAGCCTATTATTAGCTCCCCCAGGCATTAATCGCCGAAGCAAACATGTGCAGGGAGATGGGAAGGCTTAAAACTTGAAATAAATACAATTATTAAATTGAACACTTTTTCCGAGTTTAGATTATATCTGCTCATGCGGTTTTAAACAAAAGTGCAAAAGGAGTTTGCATTCTCTCACGTGCAATTTACTTAATTGAAATGATCAAATCGAGCTGCAGCGCATGCGCAGTCGGTCTCTTACTTAAAATTATAATTGTGCAGCTAATCTAGCAATTTATTCATCTCTCCTTTTATCACCCTGAGTGAAGCTGTCAGCGTCGAAGCTGTTCATCTCCTCTGATGTTCACGTGCCAGATTATAAATAAATAAAACCTGACACATATCCCATAAAATTGAAGCATTTAACCCTCTTAAACCTTTGACGTAAATAACAATAAAAGGAAACGGCTTAAATTAATCTGCAGTGACGACAAAATGAAAGCTTAACTGGAACTGATCACCCCACCACAAGTCCAAAAAGTCACATCTCTTTCAAATTAACTTCATTTTAATTTCTGTTTTTTTTTTATTTTTTTTTTTTAAATATTCCTCACCTCATTGTTCAGCAGTTTCTCCTCAATGCCTATGTTCATGGAGTCAAAGGATCTTCCTCTGCGTGGTCCCTCAACTTTGTTAGAGTACATGTTAAAGGGCTCCACTTTTATTTTGAAGTTTTTTTGTCTTCCTCACTCAGCTGGAATCAACCAATTTAATGTCTTCTGTCTCTACCAGCAGAGGCTGCGGGCTTTGCTATTTAACCACATGGAGCTTGGTGGGGGCCATAATCTGCGCCACAGCAGCAAATGGAGAGGGAGCAGCACCTCCCACGTCATTGGGGTCATCCCCCCCCCACCCCCACACACACACACACCCTAACTAAAAGATTGAAACAGTTTGACTGAGGTCAAAAATTTCGATTTGGGTAAAATAACAAAATGCAGATTTAAAATTTAGAACCAAAAATGTGATTGAGAAACAGAATAAATTATATAAACATAACACTTTCGTTTTTGCTCCCATTTTTTATGAGCTGAACTCAAACATCTAAGACTTTTTCTATGTGAACACAAAAGACCCTTTTCTCTCAAATATTGTTCATAAGTTTGTGTAAATCTCTGTTAGTGAGCACGTCTACTTTGCTGAGATAATCCATCCACCTCACAACTGTGGCTGATCAAGATGCTGATTAGACAACATGATTATTGCACAGGTGCCTTAGGCTGACCGTAATAAAAGGCCACTCTAAAATGTGCAGTGTTACTGTACTGGGAGGGTCCAGAGGGGTCAGAAAACCAGTCAGTATCTGGTGTGACCACGGTTTGCCTCATGCAGAACAACACATCTTCACATAGAGTTGATCAGGTTGTTGACTGTAGAATGTTGGTCCACTCCTCTTCAATGGCTGTGGGACGTTGCTGGATATCATCAGAAACTGGAACACGTTGTCGTATACGCTGATCCAGAGCATCCTGGACATGCTCAATGGGTAACAGGTCCAGTGATGCAGGTCATGCAAGAACTGGGATATTTTCTGCTTCCAGGATTTGTGTTCAGATCCTTCCAACATGGGGCCGTTCATCATCCTGCTGCATCATGAGGTGATGGCACAACACTGGCCTCAGGATCTCATCACTGTATGATATATATGCAAACAACTGTGTTTGTTGTCCATAACACATGCCTGCCCATACCATAACCCTACCACCACCACTTGGGCTACTTGATTCCCAACATTGATATCAGCAAACCGCTCACCCGCACGACACCATACATGCAGTCTGCCAGATTCATCTGTGAAGAGAGCACTTCTCTAAAGGTGCCATACATCACCAAATGTGAGCATTTTCCCACTTCAGTCGGTTACGATGAACTGCAGTCAGGTGGAGACCCTGATGTGGACAATGATCATGGAGAGGAGCTCCCCTGAGACGTTTCTCACACAAACTGACTGTTGCAGCAGCTGTCCTGATGGCTGGTCTCAGACGATCTTGGAGGTAAAGGTTCTGGATATGGAGGTCCTGGGCTGGTGTGGTTACACATGTTGTGTGGTTGTGAGGCCAGTTGGATGTACTGCCAAATTCTCTGAAACACTTTTGGAGACGGATTACGGTAGAGAATTGAACATTCAGTGCAGGAGCAGCAGCTGTGGTAGACATCCATGCAGTCAGCATGCCAACTGCAGCTCCCTCAAAACTTCAGTGCATGTGGCATGGTGCTGTGAGATAAAACTGCACGTTTTAAAGTGGCCTTTTATTACGGTCAGCCTAAGGCACTCTTGTGCAATAATCATGCTGTCTGAGCAGCGTCTTGATCAGCCACAGCGGTGAGGTGGATGGATTATCTCAGCAAAGGAGAAGTGCTCACTAACACAGATTTACACAAATTTGTGAACAATGTTAGAGACAAAAGTTTTTTTTGTGTACATAAAATAAGTCCTAGATTTTTTAGTTCCGCTCATGAAAGATGGGAGAAAAACAAGTGTTTCTTTTACGTATTTCTTCAGTGTATAATTAACTGATATTACATCCAAGCTACTTCTTTACGAAAGCAGATCTGACAGATTACTCATATTCCATCTTTTGCTCCTATTTGTTGGCTTCTTTAAACTGTAAAAGGTCAAGTTTAAGAGGATCCCAGTGTTTTAGTAAGCTTCTTTTACCTCCATGTGTATTCAACAACAGGTCTAAGCTGCATGTTTTCTTCTCTTTGCCAACCTGCACCTTTTAATAAGATCAGAACAATTAGCAGAAAAGGCCTTCAGTGGCTTCAGTAGACTCATTTATCTAAACAGATAACCACACCTGTTCTCTAAGCTTTGGTCACCTTCCCCACAGGACAGATGTCTGTCTGTCTGTCTGTCAGCTGCGGTCACAGCTCTCCTGCAGCGAGACAGGCAGCTGATTCACACACCGTTTGTCTCAGGTGGGCCTGCTCTGAGTCACCCATGACATGAGGCCTTGCTTTACACAACCTAAGAGGCAGTGAAGGGAACTTCCCTCCCTCCCTGGAACTGAACCCAGATCTGCTGTCAGGTGTTTGACACTAGCATGAAGACGTGGAGTGCAGAAGCAGATTATTTTAAAGGAGCAGCTCATCATGAGAGCGCTCGCTCTGCTCTGGTGTTCAGTTTAGTCCATGAAACCTTCCACTGGAAAAAGAACCAGGTTTCTCCTCCAGAGTCCCATCAGTGCTACATGACTGAATCTGAAGTTTTCTTAGAAAGTTTAGAAACACACACACATTAAATAACAACAAAAAAAAAAGAGTAAAAATAATTATGATTACCAGTCTTTACTGCCTTATTGTAGCTGCTCAAGCAAATAATACATTTATTAAGTTTTACTACAGCTGAAAGATTAAATTTGGCATCTAAAAATCATATTTGAACAGATATTGTGTATTCAACATCACTGTGCTATGAAGTTTTATATACCAGTGTACGCACACACACACACACACACACACACACTATATCTATCTATCTATCTATCTATCTATCTATCTATCTATCTATCTATCTATCTATCTATCTATCTAT